ACTTCTTCTAACGCCACTTCTTCAACATAGACTCACCCAGGCTGTGATGTTTTGTGGAAGAGCCACAGTCAAGGGGCCAAAGAGCCGCATGTGGTTCAAAAGCCGCAGTTTGCCGACCACGGGCCTAGGACACTTAGCGCTTGGTGTGTACTGTGTGTGGGTAATAGCCCCCGCTTGTTTGTGGGCTGACTTGATGCCCCTCTGCTCTTTCTGTAAACCAGGCGGAGTGTCAGGGCAGGGCTGGGGTGAGACTTGGGTTCTAGCCCAGGCTCCTCCCCTTGGGCCAGGGTGCTAATGACTCTCTCCCTCCTGCTGCCAGCAGCCCCATCGCTGAAACCTCAGGTGCTTTTCTCTTTCGGAAACTTTGTATGTGGAGGTTTTGTGGTTAAGAGAAAATGACTCTCCTCATGAAAGGTCCCCTGGCAGGCCCCAGGGCTGGGCTGGCAGACTCCACCGTAGTTTCTCTGGGAAAGTAGCCCCTGGGTGCTACTGTGACTCTGACCAACTTTCCCCAAAGTGAGAGCAGCCCTATATTGCTCAGGTGTGAGCTGCTCCATGCCACCGGGACCCCCACCCGCTGTGAATGAGAACAGCTTTGCTCCGTCAGCAGAACCCAGGTCTGCAGGTGTCATTGCTTCCCTGGGAGCTCTGGGAGGTGGCAGCCAACAGGCACCAGGCCTGCTGGCCATGGGTCCCCAGACTGTGCCCGCCCAGCTTGTGGGTTGTTCATGGGGAGCAGTGAGTCTGCACAGTCCCACCCCCAGGCCTGCTTTGGGCCATCCAGCAGGGATCGCTCACGGCCTCTCAACGAAGCAGCTGCTCACTCCTCTTCTGGGGAACTGTCCCTGGTGTGGGAGCCTCTCAGTCCTCACTTGCCCCATTAGCATCTGTTTTCCATTGTCATTTTGGCAGATGCTACGTGCCTGCTGGGGCTACAAAAACGTATGATGTGTTCATTTATTTATTCAACAAAGGTTTTACAATAGCCAACCGTGGGCTAGGTGCTGTGCTGGTTCCTGGGGATCTGGCGCTGAGCAAGCCCTATCTGGTTTGGCTCAGTGGATAGAGTGTTGGCCTGCAGACTGAGGGGTCCCGGGTTCGATTCCCATCAAGGGCACAGGCCCAGACTGCAGGCTCGATCCCCAGTAGGGGGTGTGCAAGAGGCAGACAATCAATGATTCTCTCTCATCATTGATGTTTCTCTCTCTCTCTCCCTCTGTCTCTGAAATAAATAAAAATATATTTTAAAAAATAATTTTAAACACACACACACACACACACACACACACACAAACAAAAAAACCCACAGACCAGGCACCTGGCCTCATGGAGTTTCCAGTCGAAAGAAGGAAGCAGACAAAGTAAGATGTAAGAACTTCAATTTGTGATCTGATGGAGGAGCAGGCAGGGGGCTAAGAAGTAGGGCTGACGGGCCGGGGGAAGGCTTCCTGGAGGGATGGATGTCTAAGCTGCGCCTAGAGAACCTTTCGGCAGAGGGCCTGGTGGCTGACAGGGCGGGACACGCCGGAGGCGGCTGAACTAGAGAGAGCCCCAAATGCCGGCTCACTGCCGAGGCCAGATTGGCTGGTCGTGATGTTGACTGTGATGGCCCAAGTCTTGTGCCGAATGGATGCTATTAATCAGCTCCCAGGGTCACGGCCCTGGAATCGCTCGTGCGGTGGCGATGGCCTTCACGGCTGCTGTGGCTCGTGCCAGCAGCCCGGCCTTCGGGTTAATGTGGAAAAGAATTTGACTTATTTGATGTGTTGCCCTGTCTTTAGTCAGCTTTTTGAAGCTGTGGTTTGAGACCAGTTTGGAGTGGAGGGAAGGCCTGGCTGTGAAAAACCTTTTAACATGTTCCCTTGGCTCCTTCCTTGCTGATGACTTTCGAGCACGTGCTGCGTGCCACGTGCAGTAAGAGGCATGTGGGGACAGTCAGAGGGAGGTAGACACCGTCCCTGCCCTGATGTATAATAATAGGGTGACGACTGGCCTAGTCATTGGGGGGTTCCCATACTATAGTTCAGTCCTCCCAGGGGACCCGGAATGAGCTGGGTATGATCATTCCTGTTGTGAGAGAACCAAGCTCAGAAACATGAATGAGGTCACACCACGGGTAAACGGCAGAACCTAGATTTGAACTCGGATTCAAGCCTGTTCTGTGTCCGCTGCCCTGGGAGCTCTTGTCTGTTCAGAAGCTCTATTCTGAGACCGGCAGTGACAGGGGCTGCCATGGCGACGCAGACAGCCCGCTTGAGAGGGGAGACTGGAACTCTAATCAGGCCCGGGGAAGTCTTGCCGGGGCCAAGGACACTGTGGCCGGCGGAGGGAGGAGCTTCTGGCCAGAGCAGACAGCTGGAGCGGAGGCCCAGTGGGTAGGAAAGGGTAAGAAATAGTATTTTCTAGGCGAGTGTGTGCCTGGAGGGCTGGGTGGGCCAGGGGTGGAGCGGAGATGAGCCTAGAAGAGAAGGTTGGGGCCTCTGGTCACACTGGGGGAGGGCTGGACCAGAACAGGGTGAGTCTGGGAATGTGGCATGAGCACCTCAGCATAGTTCTTCAGGATGCAAGAGGCATCTGTGTCTTCACACTTCTGAACTCCACGCTCTGAAGATGATCCAGGGGCTTAGGACCCACCATGGGACACCAGATATACTTCTTATGTGGCAACCTGGGAGTTGCCAGCCTCGGCGGAGAACGTCTGATTAGTAATGTCTGCTCTGGGTACGCAGGGGCCCAGATTGCAGGCACGGAGAGCAGCCCTGGATTTGCCTCTGTCTAGGTTTCACTCAACATAGAAACCGTGCAGCTGAGTGGGATTGTTTTTGTTCCGACTCCGTGTTCCCTCTCTAGCAAGCGTCCTCACTTGCCACTGAGCCCTCTGAAGGTAGCTGGATTTAGCAGAGGTCAGGGCCATGCGAGCAGGCCAGGGCCCCTGAGTCTAGCAGGTTGTGAGCTTAGGACCAAACAGGTTTCTGGAAGGCCAGAAAGGCCGCTGCAGAAGCAATGGTTTTGTTGTCGCGATGGGTCTCCTCACGCCTCACATCCCTCCAGCCACAGGGTTCTTTCCCTGGAGTCTGTGGGGAGAATTCTGGGGGTTCATAAATTTGGGGTAGAAAGTTACTACCTTCATTTTCAGTGTGTTTGTTCCATTTGGATGGAGGCGACAAGGCCCAGTTAGTTGTCTGAACAGATCTGTGTGACTCGGTCACCAGTGGAAATCACAGCTGTTTCCATATCACGTTACAGTGGTGGAGCCGCCTGGCATAGCACAACCTCAGCGTTATGCTCACCGGGAGGCCCACCACTTTCATAAGGAAGCTTCTAGTGCCCTGTTGCTACCTTATGTAATGTTTTGAGACATGTATTTACATGTAATCGGTTTCCTTTTATGATCCTAAGTGTTTTGTTCTACACACTTAAAAGCATTACTCTCAGAGATACGGACCTCCCCGCGCTGCCAAAGGAGCCCCTGGTGCAAAAATAATCAAGAACTCCTCTTTGGACATAGGGGGGTTTCCTAGACATTTGACATTTAAATTACAGTGATCATTAACTGCTTGTTAGTTCTGTGACTGTGCTGTTTAGAGAAACGTAGGGAGATACACACAGATGGGAGATAAAGGAGCGCACATTCACGTCACGACCCTTTGGGGGGTAGGAGGACCGGGAAGTGGCTCCGAGGGCAGGGCTTCTGTACAAGGCTTTGGAGGTGGTGCTCGCCGCTGGGGGAAGCCGGAAGTCACCAGTATGAGGCCAACGGAGTCTGGTCAACCTCTCGGCAGTTCTCACTGGGTCCAGGGGTCACTTGATCTCAGCCAAGCCGGTGCATCCATTTCCATCGACTGGAGTCCATCCCCCCTTCTTTTTATTTTTTTTTTATTTTTTTTATTATTAATTTCTTTATTGATTAAGGTACCACATATTTGTCCTCAACCTCCATTCCAATACCCCACCCCTCCCCACTCATGCGCCCACACTCCCTATTGTCCTTGATTACTGGTTAGGCTCATATGTGTGCACATAAGTCCTTTGGTTGATCTCTCCCTTTTATCCCCACCCTCCCTCTGAGGTCCATCAGTCTGACCCGTGGCTCCTTAGCTCCAGGTCTGTTCTTGTTCATCAGTCTATGTTGTTCACCATCTCTCCTAGATGAGTGAGATCATGTCCTACTGGAAATATAAGAGTAAAAAACGAGACAAGCAATAATTGTTTTAATTGGCCCTGAGCTGTGCTTTCCCAGGTGGTGCCCAGTATTTGTCCAAGAGAGCATCAGGCTGACCTTACTTAAGCTTTTTATATTTGACGTTTTAAGCGAACATTTCAGGGTGTGGGTCCTGAAAGCCTATTGTGGGCGCGAGTCATGGACCCTTACTAATGCCGCCATAGCACGCGTGGGCCAGGCACGCACGGAGCATTTTGTCTGTTTTATCGGGGAGGTTCTATTATTATCCCTGTTTTCTGGAGGAGGAACCTGAGGCCTTTCTGGGGGTGGGGTGTTAAGTAACTTGTGTAAGGTCACAGGGCCAGCGTGTGCCTGAGCCCCCAGATCCCAGCCAAGGCAGTCTGATTCTGGGCCGGATGCATCCTAAGTGGGAGGTTACTCATGATCCTCAGACCCCCACATGGTCCATATCATCAATTACTAACCCTCCCTGTGCCTCCCTCCCTCAAACAGGAAGTTCTCTTCTGTTTTAACCCTGGTCTCTGTTCTGACCAGTCTTGCCCATTCCTCTCGGAGGATCATGTCCTGAGCCTGAGGCATGGCAGCTCCCCTTGGGTCGGGTAGAGGGTTATGGGTGGTTTTCCAGGTTTCCTGCTGGCTCTCCCAGACCCTACCCCTCTTTTTCCTCCCCCACCTTCTGCTTCAGTACATCGCATGGCAGCAAAGGGGAATCCAGCAGGCTCCTGCTTGCCAGAGCTTCCCCCCGGCGTGCATGCTGGAGGCAGCCACAAGCACGTGCCCTCAATGAACCACCTTTTCTTTTCTGGGCTCTCCACAGGCAAAGCTTGTCCGGTATATTTGCAAGCAACGGCAGTGCAAGCTGAGCGTGGCTCCTGGTGAGAGGACCTCAGAGCTCGACAGCTACCCCCGCTTCAGTGACTGGCTGTACACCTTCAATGTGAGGCCAGAGGTGGCGCAGGTATGCGGGCTACGGGGACTTGGGGCACGGGCTGGGGTACGGGGTGAGTCAAGCTAAGGGACCACACGCAAACCCAAGGACGGAGGGGCAATGCTGTCTACCCTCAGAGGGGCCCCGGGCTAAATGTGGCTCTAGCCTGTGTCCTGAGTGCCACTGCTTTGTAAGTCCGATGGCCTGACCACGCCGGTCATTCATTGGTTCACCATGAGGACAGCGGCCAACATTGCCGGAAACATTGGCCGTGCGACAGACACTGTGTTCAAACGCTTTGTAGAGATAAACTCACCTAGTTCTCACGAACCCTGTGAAAGAGCTGCTATCACCATTGCCACTTCATCCCTGAAGAAACTCAAGCTCAGAAACGGCTCAGTGACTTGTTTAGAACCATGCAGCTCGTAAGGGATAGATTTGGTGCCTAGGAAACAAGGTTCTGAGTTGAATTTTCTCCTGTGACTGCTGTAATATACTGTTTGCCTCACTGTGCTCCCTCTTCCCACCCATCTAACCAGCCTACCCTCTTGCCAGCTAACCAACTAACCAGCTAGTATTCATGGCAGCGTCCCTCTGAGAGGACAGCTCTCATGGGCATAAATAAATCAGTGCTTGGCAGGGGCAGTGCACCCATTCAGATCTTAAATCCCTTCCTTCTAAGAGTAAAGATGGACTCTTGCTATTGTGCTAAAGTAACACGAATTCATTGTATGTAGACACTTAAAAAAACAGGAAGAGGGAGGAAAAATCACATTCATATTTCCACCACTCAGAGGAAGTCTGTGATCATTAAGATTTTGACATTTCTTTCAAGTCTTTTCTTTAATTTTTATTACTTAAGTCCTTTCACATATTCTAGTGGGTTAGACCTGTGCAGTCTGGTGAGGTAGTCACTAGGCAGTGTGGCTGTTATTGCTTGGCACCTAGCAAGTCCATACTGAGACGAGCTATCATGTCAAAGATATGAATTCCCAGATGTGCTGAGCCGAGCTGCATTCTGAAGACTTGGTACAGTTCAGGCCCAGGCCTGCTGGACGCCTTCTAACTCCTCGTCTTGGGCCTAAGTAAGACATCTTTGGCAGGTGACGTAGCTCCTTGAAGGGGTTGGTTGGATTTCCAGAGATGCAAAGTGTGCAGGAGACTCGGGGGTGCCCAGGGCAGAAGCCAGCACCAGAACGGGAGGCTAGCTGCAGGGGCTGTTTGGCCCCTGGAGAGCCCTGTGGCGGCGGCCGGGACAGGGGTCCTCCATCAGATCCAGAGGCGTAGCAGGTACTGAGTCAGGTGATGTTTGCGTCACCAGGTCATGAGTGATGCGTCGGAGCTGGGTGGTAAGTGAGGGGCAAGCTCCTTTGTATGCAGGGGTCCGGCAGGCGGGAGAGCCCCAAAGCCGCATGTGGTTCCCTGGCATGGAGGACTGGGGCGTCTGCGCAGAGAGCTCTGAGGGTTATGAGGAGATGGGAGTGATTAGGGATCATCTCCAGCTTCCCAGGGACCCCTCCAGTGACTTGGAGAGATCATGAGGCAGCTTAAAAACGAACATGTTTCAAGCAGAGCTCTTGCTTTTTCCCTTCCGTACGTAGAGGCACGTCAACTGGAGCTAGGCTAAGCGCCTGCCTCCCGCCCCCTGTGCGTTCCAAAGGGCATCCTCGCCAGTGGGAGGGTGTGGGAGCAGGATGAGGGTGGGCCCAGGTGCCTGGGGGCAGCCAGCAGCTTCTGCCTGGGCTCTAGGAGCCACAGGAGTCATTGCCTGGTGTCACACCATCTTCCCCAAACAATCTCTCCAGACCCTTTTCCAAAAGATGCTCTGCATCTTCCCCTCACACCGCACATGGGTCTTGGGCCCCGGGCCAGACCATTGTCAAGGATGGGAGAAGGGCTGTTTCCTTTAGTCATCCCAGCCCCTGCTAGTGGGGAGGGGGCAGGCTGCCTTTGCTGGGTTCTGCTCCTTGCACGTGCTGCTCCTTGCACCTGTCTGGGAGCACAGCACTGGGGCCCAGGGTTCGAGGGCTCCCCAGGAACACACCCCAGGTGTGGTTCTATTTTTTTAATGTAAACAGTGGACTCTGACTGACACCCACCCCACCCCACCCACCCACCCTACGGCCTGATGGAGCCTGTGTGTTGTCAGTAAAAATTGATTCCAGCTGAAACCAGATTGGCTCAATGGATAGAGTGTCGGTCTGCGGACTGAAGGGTCCTGGGTTCGATTCGGGTCAAGGGCATGTACCTTGGTTGCGGGCACATCCCCAATAGGGGTTATGCAAGAGGCAGCTGATCGATGATTCTCTCCCATCGATGTTTCTAACTCTCTATCCCTCTCTCTTCCTCTCTGTAAAAAAATCAATAAAATATATATTTTTTTAAAAATTGATTCCACCCATCAAAGATGGATGCAGATTTCAGAAACCAGCATTCAAAACAGCATGAAAACCCAGGCCCTTCCAAAGTTGACCTCAGAGCTGGAATCCTTGGACTTCTGAGCAGAAGCCTACACCACTGTTTATTTTCTTAAATAACCACTTTGTTTTGGGAAAGTCCTAGGTTTATAGGAAGGCTGCAGAGAGTCCGGTTCCCATATAAACCCTTCACCCACTTTCCCGTCATCAGCATCATGCCCTCCCACTGTATACTTGTCAACGCTAAGAAAACACGCTGATACATGACTGTTTACTGAGCTCTAAAATCTATTTGGATTTCACCAAGTTTTTCCAATCTAGGGCACCACGTGGTTTCCTATTTATGTATAAATAGGTATGTAAATATTGGTTTCCCTTTTTTGTTAGAGTTGCTAAAATGGGATCAGAGAATATAGATCCTTGTGCCGTTTTTAGTCTTAATCTCATCTTTCCGTTAGTCCTCGCACATCCATCTCATTAGAGCGACTTCTCCAAGCTTATCCCAGGGATGACTGTGTTTGAGGAGTGCCCACCTGTGCACGCAGAGGCACACATAGACGGTCTGGCCTGTGCCCAGGAAAGGCTGGGTGCCCAGCAGCACGGCCCCTGGCCGTGGGGGAGCCCTTGGCAAGTGTTTGCTGGGGAAGGAGTTACAGAAAGTTGCCATGGAATGGAGGTGGGAGATATCAGGCTTTCAAACAGGATCTCTTGCCCAGCTGGCCTGAGTGTTTACCTATGAACAAGAAGGTCACGGTTCCATTCCCAGTCAGGGCACACGCCTGGGTTGCAGGCTCAATCCCCAGTGTGGGGCGTGCAGGAGGCAGCTGATCAGTGATTCTCTCTCATCATTGATGTTTCTGTCTCTCTTTGTCTCTCTCTCTCTCTCCCCTTCTCCCTTCCTCTCTGAAATCAATACAAATATATTTATTTAAGAGACAAAACAGGGCTTCTTATCTCTCTGTCCTTTTTTTGTTTGTTTTGGGAGGGGAAGGTATCCAAACCTATGAAGTCTGACAGTTTTGTTTTGCCCAGTTCTTGGTGCTGAAGCGCCTCAGAACTGGTGTGGTAGGGACTCAGTGATCTGCCCCAGGGCTGCGCACCAGGGGCCTCTGGGGCTGGTCTTCGTGAGGTGGGATTTATCCCCTCGACCTCGTTGATGAGTTTTCTGCCATCTCGACCCTCCATGGCTTCCTGACCCGGGGCCCTGATTTCTCTCTGGCAAATATACTCATCATACCTGCGTGTAGCCAGATGTGTGTGTATAATCTGCTTCTTCCTTTTTAGCATCGCCCTCCTGGGGTCTGCTTCAACGGGGTTATCTAAATATTATTTCAGCTTTTGGCTTTAGATTGTGGCCATTGGTTTGTGGTCACAAAGTTTCCAGGAAATAATGCCTTTCTGCTGGGTGAGGAGAGGAGACAGACATGGACGTGGCCATGGGACGGTGGTTGTTTGCCAGTGTCTGGGTGGATGCAGACGCTCTGCCTACATGCTTGATCCTCCCCCGACCCCCTCCCCTCCAGTCATATCTCAGCTCCAACGCCAGCGGCGGGGCCTCTGACACGCACGGCCTTTGATTCCTGCTTCATTTCCTCTTCCGGATGCTGGAGGCAGATGACTTGTGAGGTGCCTTTCTGTGTGTACCCAGCTATCAGACCTTGGCCAAGTGACACTGTCCAGTAGACCTCTCTGTGATGACAGAAACGCTCCATACTGTTCTGTCCCACGTGGGAGCCATGGAGCACTTGAAATGTGCATAGTGTGACTGAGAAACTGAAATTGAAGTTTCATCCTCATGAATTTTAATTTAGATAGTCGTATGGCTATTGCAGTATGGGGCAGTGCGGGTCTGAAGCCTGCCCCAGTGGGGCCCCGTGCAAAAGACACCCTCCCTGGTCCCGGGAGCTCAGCCACTCAGAGCTGGCACCGAGAGCCCTGGCCGAAGCTGGCCTGGGGTTTGTGAGATGTGGCGGCGAACGCGGTCTGGGAAGGTCAGAGAAGGGCCAGGAGCTAGCCAGGCCAGGCCAGAAGGGAAGAGCACGCCACACAGAGGGAACAGTTCCTGCAAAGACCCTGTGGTCTGAGAGCTGGTGCCTACCTCACAGGAAGGGTTTGAAAAGGCCTGGTCTGGGGAAGGCTGGTGAGGTCAGAGATGGGTTCGTGGAAAGTGCCGGGGTTGGGGTTCTATCTGGGCTGTCACTGGTGTGTGTGTGTGTGTGTGTGTGTGTGTGTGTGTGTGTGTGTGAGAGAGAGAGAGAGAGAGAGAGAGAGAGAGAGAGAGAGAGAGAGAGAGACAGAACAATAGGGTTGTTTTAAGGAAAATCAAACTCCCAGGAGTGAGAAGGCTGGATGTGCCATGGGGTAGGTGAGGGTGCAGGGATGAGGATTGCTCGCATGGAGGGGTGGAAGGTAGACATCCAGGCACACGTGGACTGTTCCCACCACCACCACCTCCTTCCACAGGTTAGAAACTCAGCCTCACAGCTTCGTGTTCTGGCTGCAGCTGGGGAAATGATTTCAGAGCCTGCTGGCGCGGGGCCATCTGTTTCTTTAGCCATTTCCCCGTTGGAAGTTGTTAAAGGAAGTGGCAGGCGCTGGCTGGGATCAGTCCTG